AGAGTACAGGGAACTACAGTGAAAGTATATGGGACATACAGGAGAGTACAGTGAAAGTACAAGGGATAGTGTTTTGCGTGATCGCGAATTTCACGGTCACGATCACGCGTGATCGTGCGTGATTAGAAACTTTTTTGTGCTCGTGATCGTTCGTGATTAGAAACTTTTTCGTGATCGTGATCGTGATCATGACCAAAAATATCAGTCACGCAAAACACTAACAAGGGACTACAATGAGAATACAGGGGAGGCACAGGAGAGTACAGTGGAATTACAGGGGACTACAGTGAGAGTACAGGAAACTACAGAGGACTACAGTGAGAGTACGGGAGATGAATAAGGAAGTACAGTAGGAGTATAGGGAAGGTACAAGGGAGTATAGTGGGAGTACGCACTCTAGGAGTCCCGCTTTTTCTCGCTTGAATGCAACCTTTCACAGGGGCCTCTAGTATTCAGTATATTATCGATGTCATGTACACTATTCCATCCTCTAGTCTGTCCCTGTTCTTCCTTTTTTCGTCTCTTTATATAGTGATACATTAGATCACTCGATTATACAAGAGAAGGAACAAGAACAGAAAAATATACATATATATATATATAAAGAGAGAGAGCGATGAAAGTTACACCAAAAGAAACAGGACAGATGGTGTTGAATAGAACAAGAACAAGAATTAGTCAATCACACTAATTACATCACACTAGTCCAATGTAAACTAAGGATGACATTCAAACGGATAAAACCATCCCTGATTAATATATAAACATACCCACACATACATATGTATGTATATCTATGATAGTGCCTATTGTCACAAATCTCGAAAGTACTGAACTTTTCGAATAATCGAACATTTTACTTTACTTTAACCCATTCACCACGATTCAGTTTTCTTGGAAAATTCTTCGAAATATTTATTTCTGTTAAAAGTTAACTTCTAATAAATGCACTTAGTGGTCTTTTCATTATCTTCTACCGATTATTCATTGTTCTCTTCTTTGTATCATCGCATAATGATACATATTTTATTAGGACTCTGAGAAGGAATCGTGTCTAATCGGAAAGAAAAGTCGTTCGAAAAAATATTAGATGCGGCGAAGCTCGCAGACTTCAGAATAGAGACGGAGTAAAATTGATTATGTGAAAAAATAAAAAAGACGTCTTGGTGATATCCACAAGATCATCAGATTCAGCAACTGTGGTGGATAATAGAAATATCAATAGTAAAAATGATCGCATCATGAAGCCACAGGTTGTACCGGATTACAACCAGTGAAGACTAGGAAATGATTTACCGGATCAACTATCATCATATTGCACGTGCCTTTGACGATCAATAAACTGGCACAGAAAGGTAGCATTTGAATTAGTTTTTAGGACAGCTCTGGTAAATAGCTACTTGATATACAAGGAAAACTATGCGACAAGCAAAGTGACCATTCTGCAGTTTCGTGAAAGCCTTGTCCGATCTTGAGGGTGTGGGTGTGGGTGTGTGGTGTGAGTGTGGGTGTGGTGGGTGTAGGTGTGGGTGTAGATAAAGAGATACCACACACCCACACCCACACCCACCCACACTCATACCCACCCACACCCCATACCCTCACCCACACCCTGTACAGATATCCGCATCGACACTCATGCTATATGTTTGTTTGATATTTATCGTTTGTAAACTAGGTGTTTAACTACATGCACATGTACACGCTCACAATAATTCTCTTTCATTTTATTACACGTTTAGTTGGTCGAAGAACGGAAGGAAAGAACGAGTAAAAGATAAAAAACAACATTTCTTTTTTCTATTATGCTGCTCCTTAGTGAAAAATCACAATACTTCTATAGAGAAGAAGCATGGTGCAACTTGAATTCATTTTGCATTAAGACATACCTGTGCTTTCTTTCTCTACAGCAACAGTCAGACGTCATAGCTTCGTTATGTCAATCGACAAGAACAAGATTAAAAGTGAGTCATAGAACTCTAAAGGAGAAAATGTTCGATCTTGGATTTATCAGTTTAGCAATGCCTACTCTGTTTAGGAATAGATGTGAATGTGGGTGTACAGCTAAAAAGAACATCCACATGTATATCTACAGGCATGGGATATTTTTTGATTGGTAACTATTTTCATTGATAATAATCAACTGTAAGTTTTCATTTGAAGCGCCAATGACCGCAGAAGAAAAGTCATCATTGAATTTCGTCGAAGCATTCATACTTAGTGGTACTGCAGCTGTAGTATCAAAAACAATTTTTTCTACTCCAATCGAAAATGTCAAGATTCTTATCACGTACCAACACGATTCTTTGAAACGTGGTATAATTCCTAGACAATACACGGGAGTCATTGATTGCATGGTCCAAACGTGCAAGTATCAAGGTCTTGCTCGATTGTTCAGAGGCAATTTGATAAACTGTATTCACTACTTTCCTAGTATTGCATTGAACTTTGCTTTTAATGAGCAGATCAAGCATATTTTCAAGATGGAAAAACGTCACACATACTCGATCAAGTTAATAGACAACGTCGTTAGTGGTAGTACCGCTGGTTTACTGTCTTCGATTATCGTACGACCGTTCGATTATGCTCGCATGCGTTTCGCTGACGATGTTCGCAGAGGCAAAATCAAACGTGAACGTAAATTCAATATTACCATCGATTTTTACAAGAAAACATGGGTTACTGATGGCGTAGCTGGCATTTATCGTGGCTCTGCTATTGTGTGCATTCATTCTATTATCTATAGTGGATGTTATTTCGGTTTCTACAATACATTAGCACCACTCTTACTCGGGCATAATTCAAAGTTCTTGTCTTCATTTATACTTGCTTATGGTGTAACCATAACGGCGGGTCTTATTTCTTATCCAGTCGATACCATTCGGCGACGAATGATGATGATGCCACTTACAGGAACGAAATCTAAAGGTTACATGGATTGTATCTCTCAAATACAGAGACATGAAGGTGTAATGACTCTCTTTCGTGGAGCTGGTGTACAAATTTTGCGGAGTTTAACCGCTGCTGGTACTCTAGCCGGTTTTCACAAGCTCTCACAAATATACATTGATGTACATTTGATACCAAAGGATGCATGTGCCGACAAACACGGTATCGTCACAGGATAAGATAAAGTGAGATAGGAACAAACGATGAACGTCTTTACAAATGACAGCACTTAACCTTGACTGTGGGATACATAAAAGTCCTCTGCACATTTATCTTGTCCTTTCCATTTATCTTCTTTGTATGTACCTTCTGTCCCAACTTTCTCTTTGCCTTTTGTATCTTCGTCGGATTGATCATTTTCTGTTTACCTTGAAAAAAGAATGAGGTGTGTGAAGTTCAGAGTAGAGTGGAGGATACAAGAAGAAAGTAGATAGGGTAGTGAGTAGTAGAGTCAGAGTGGAATTGAAAAGAAGAAGCATACACTAACTTAGGGAACAGACGATTATATTTATTGTGCGTAATGGCTGCAAATTTTATACACGTGCAGCTGTTAAAAGAAGGCTGCTGCTAACTTATCTATGCTAAGTTCATTACAAAATAAATTGTCTTATTTGGGTATTATTTAAACGACCTTAGTATTCCGTTTATACTCTTTTACGGGCTGTTACCCATTAACATACCAGGAATAGAAGATATATATATATAAATTGGGTATACTTTTGAACGGTTAATCGATTATTGGAACATTAACCTTATATATGGGTGCGGGTGTGGGTGTGTGGGTGTGGGTCTGTGTGTGGGTGTGGGTGTGGGTGGGTGTGGGTGTGGGTGTGAGTGGGTGTGGGTGTGGGTGTGGGTGTGGTGATAAGTGAACCAGGTATAACCACACCCACACCCACACCCACACCCAAACCCACACCCGCACCCACCCACACCCACACCCACCCACACTCACACCCACACGCATACCCACACCCACACACCCACACCCACCCACACCAACACTCATACCCACACCCACACCCCAAACTCCACATCCCCCACACCCACACCCACACACCCACACCCACACCCACATTCCCTACACCCACACCCACACCCACACCCATACCCATACCCATACCCACACCCACACCCACACCCACACCCGCACCCCACACCCACACCCACACCCATCCACACCCAAACCCCACACCTCACATCCCCCACACCCACACCCATACACCCACACCCACACTCACACATACACCTACACAGCCACACCCACCCAGACCCACATCCACACCCACCCACACCCACACCTAAACACCCACACCCACACCCCACACCCACTTCAGGACCCAAGGGTACCCTCATATAATAGGACTTGAGGACCTAAGGGTCCCTTCATAGAATAGGAGATGAGGACTATAAATGTATCACTTAATTTTAAGTGAATTAAGCGTTAATTAGAAAAACTTAACACTTAATATTAAGAAATTAAGTTGTCTTTTAAAAACTTAAAACTTAATTTTAAGTTTTAATTTTTTTAATTAACACGTTTTTTTCAGAATTAAGTTTTTTATTAATATATAATATTAGGCGGTTAAGTTGGAATTAGAAAAACTTAACACTTAATTTTAAGTTTTAAGTAAAATTGGTTAATAAAATGGCTTAATTAAATTGAATTAGAAATAACGTCCCACCCCTATTCTGAATTTAAATTGAAATGAGTACCATTTGAAGATCTTCGTTGCTGAGGTAAAATGTAGCATCATAGTTGCTCTACACATCCGCATCCTATTTTTTAAATTATCATCAATGAGGAATATTTTAATTCTTCGATGATTTGTTCGCTATGGATAAATTTTGTTTTTCTCTATGTATTCATATCGTCATAAATGGAATCATAATAATAAAATAGAAACAACAATACATACAAATAAATGACATGAAAAGTAAAATGGCTGTGATAGTGATTGACTTAATCTATCGACATCTGGCATTTTGTTATTACATGAGCATCTAGTCATTTTCTGGAAAAGCAGTATGAACGTTGTTAGATTTTATTGAGTTTCATTTGTATTGAACTTCAGTTTTTTTAGTTTTCACTCTTTTCTGCTCGTTAAAGTAGAACATATTTGAAAAACAAAAAGCATGAGTGTTTTTAGTAATTTTTTTTAAGTATTTAATAATGATGATAATGATTTTGTAGCGAGCTACTTTTTTTCATACTTAATAACAGAAATGAACAATAGTAAACGAAGCAGAAGAAAAAAAACAAAAGACAATCTCTGTGTATGTATATGTGTCAATACATTTGCTTGGATTTTGTGTTATTTTTATTTTTTAAATGATGATATTTGATTTTTTTTGAGCAACAGAATTCGTTGCTGCTTGTTTAGCTTGATATGTTTGAAGTATAGCAATAGCTTCTTCAACCTAATATAAAATAAAAATAAAAAATAATTTATTTTAAAATTGAATAAACATACTTTAGCTTTAAGTAATTCACTTGATTCGAGCATATAAAGAAGTTCCGTATTATCAATTTCTAGGAGCATACCAGTTATTTTACCAACTAATTCTAGTTGAATTTGTTGAATCAATGGAAATAAACGTTCACCTAACATTTGTTTTTGCTCTAATGGTGTTGCATTAGCAAGAGCAGCCAATGTTAATGATTTTTGTTCAGCAACTACAATTGAATCTGAAAATCCAGTTGAATTCTAAAAACAAAATTATTATTATTATTTTTTTATTCAATTTGAATACATACATTAGGTGGCATATTTCGTGCTGTAGGAGTATAAGCTGTTGCTTGTTGTGATTGTACTCCAACAAATGATCGAACAGAAGTGTCAGGCATCATTTGTCCTGATTTTGATGTTGGTTGAGTTCCCATTGGCATTGTTGATCGAGATTCAACATCAGTCATAGCTGATGGTGAGATTTGTATACCAATCATTTGAGTACTTGTTTGTGGTTTCATAGCATTGGTAGTTACAGGTGATGGCCAACATGGTTGTGCTAATTGATAAATTGGCATTACTGTTGATGGAGATAAGTTACATGGTTGTGATGGATCCATTGGTGTTAATAAGTATGGTATCATAACACACATTCCATTTGGAAATGGTAATTGCATTTGTGATGGTACATGTGAGGTTGCAACATATTGCATATGTTGATTAGTTAAATGCATACGACGTTCTTTTTTTCTTTGAGCTAATGCGACATAAAGTGGTTTAGAACCGACAAAAGAACCATTCATTTCAGTAATAGCTTTTGCTGCTTCATCCGTTGTACTAAAAGAAACGAAACCAAAACCTCTCGATCGACCATTTTCTGTCATAACCTAAATAACAGAAAAAACCAATATATAATTTTAAAAAACATCTATAGAAGAAGAATATGAAGTTACTTTAGCACTAGTTATTGTTCCAAATTTTGAAAATTCTTTTTTTAATCGTTCATCATCAATAGTATCATCCAAATTTTTAATGTATAAATTGTATAAATTAACATTTTGATATTTATTCATATATTCCTGTCGTTGTAAATCTTTTTTACATGTTATTTCCGATAATTGTTCACTTTTCATTTGAAAACGACCAACCCAAAGTTGTTTATCTCCAATTGAATATCCATTTAAATTTTGAACAGCCTAGAAAAATAAATAAAATGTTTTTTTTCCTTTTAATTTCATATTGTTTTCTTTTTCTTTATTTTACTTCTTCAGCTTCTTTTGGATTTTCAAAACTACAAAAAGCAAAACCTTTTGAATGTCCACTTTCATCATATTCAATCTAAAAATGGATTAGATTAATTATTTTCGATTACAAAAACGAAAAAACAATCCGATAGTTTACTTTACAACTTAAAACTTTTCCATATTTTGATAAAATTTCACGTAATTTTTCTTCATCTAATTGATTACCGAAATTATTAATAAATATATTCGTCAATTGACGTGCTCCATCAACATCAACTTGTTGATTAGATGATATCAAACGACTAAGATGAACTTTTTTGTCAGCTAATGACATACCATTGACTTTTTTAATAGCATTATCTGCTGCATCTTGTGTTTCGAAATGAACGAAACCATAACTTTTTGATTGATTATTTTTTTCTGTCATGACCTATTAATAAAATCAAATGAAAATAATTATAAAAAATTCGTTTTATATAACAGATGAATAAGTTTACTTTGCACGATAAGATATTGCCAAAAGCCGAAAATGTATCATAAAGTAATTTATCATCAATTCTTTCATCTAAATTTTCAATAAAAACTTTGGTAACACCTAATTTACATAATGCTGAATCACGTTGACACCGCTTAATATGTAATGGACGACCATGAAGAAAATCAAAATTCATTGTATCGAATACATATTCAGCTGAAACGATAGAATTTTTTTATTTATGGAAGAATATATTTTATCAAAATGAATTCTACTGGATTTTGATAATATCCTAGAACTCGAATATAAATAAAAAGCAAACAACCGTTTTTTTTTAATTATTTTTCTCATTTCGTTCGATCACATATCATTCTATTGTAATAGTTAATAAACTGACATACCATCAGTTGCTAGTTGAAAATTGACTTCAGCATAGCCAAGTGATCGTCGTGTAATCATATCACGAAAGACTCGAATTGATGAAATTGGCCCAACACTTGCAAATTTGTCGAATAACATTGCCTCATTAACATTTGGGTGAAGATTATCTTTCATTCAAACGAAATTTAGAACGAAAATAACAATATTCAAACTTACCAACACGCAATGAGGTATATGAGATGATTGGAGCTCCTAGTAAATCACTGGGTGATGCCATATTATTTTTATTTTTTGTCGTCTAACGTTGTTTTTTTCGACTTTATTTTTATTTTATGAAGGATAAAATAAAGTTGATTGTGTAGTTCATGTATTTTTTATACTTTTGAGAAATATGTTGCGTTCCTTTTTATTCCAAATGTGATAAATTACAGAATCGTATGATCGCTTTATGTGAACTGCTTTTTTTTATCAACAAGTGACTGCAAACGTGCACACACACAAATATAAACCCACTCTGCATAGGTGATCAATAAAATAACTGAAGACGGTCAAAATGACTAGTCGGAAATATTTGCAATACCCGTCATGTCTAGTCCATTTTGTCCGTTAACTGCGTCCAAACTAGTCAGCAAAACAGAAAAATAAGAAAAAAAAGAAGACGAAAAGTAGAGTTGAACATTTGATCCGACAATATTCGATATTTGACGAGCAACATGACGGCAGACTATAGCATATCGATAGACTGACGACAGTTTTGACCGTCCAAATAGCAGAATGATGCTCATCTATCTGCTAGACAATTTGACACCCGTCAGAGACGAGAAACTTGACTAGTCTGAAGTGTCATCTGCACATGTTAAGACTAGTCCATTTTTTTTTTGAGAATGTTCCATCGATCCTTGTTTACACTAGTCTAAAAACTCCAGATAACTCATTTGGTTTGAAGTAAACTATCCTGCTACTTCGTTTAAACTGATCCATAATGGAAATTAAAAAAAAAGCAGAATGTAAATAAGGATAGTCGCAACTGATTCGTCTTCGAGAAAATATTTTTAATCCTAATTCAGACAAGTGTAAACTCTTTATACAAGCCCTTTTGTTTGAATTTTTCTGACTATTCTAAATGAACAGACATCTATCACCCATCTTTCCAAGAATAAAAATTTTATATATTTCATTCTAAAGCTACTACAAAAATCTATTGAAGCACGAAACAAGCACATTAAAACACATAACAGCTGCTTATATCTAAATGAGAGTTGCCTATTGATATCTTCTGAAGTTTATAGATTATAAAAATAATTGAGAATAATTTTAAATTATAGAATTTTTCTTTTTTTAAGTTTAGAATGGAAACATTTTAAATTAAGACAAAAACAAAGCATAGGATAAAAAAAAAACACATTTTTTTTTACAATTTATATTATTTTTCATTTCTTTTTGAATTTTAATTGTTTTTCAAATAAAAAATAATTTTCGCAAAGGTGATGATCAAAAGAATTTTTTTGAAAAAAAAAACTAAAATTGAAAAAGAAAAGAAAAGATTTGAAATTCGATGATGAAATACATTTCAATGATATTTTATTTGCTTATCCAAGACGAAAAAGATCGATTGATTTTCTAAAATCTTCATTCAATCGTTTATTTTGAACAAATTATACCATATGGTAGTTGAAATAGTTCGACTTTCATTCTTCAATTTTCTCATTTTCTTTTCAAATATTCAAATTATATTAGGAAAATCAACGATCATTTGATATGCTCTTCGTTATTATTAAACAATAGCCGAATAAATAATTAATCAATTAAGAACAATTTTAACTTCAACAAATGTCAGTTGTTTAAATAGAATCAGTAAAAATTCTTTCTTTTCTCAGTCCTCTTTTAACGCTGAGAAAATTTTCTTTTTGAAAATTCATTCTTATGAAAATGTTACAAGTCAATGCTCATTAATTTATTGTTCAACTTGTAAATGTAACCAATTTTTCTTTCTTTTTGTTTTACGTTTGAATAAATATCAAAGGTTAGTTGATGAAAAATAAAACTGAATTCAAGAGAGGAGAAAAAAACCAATGTCTTGCATTAATTCGAACTTTATTAAGAAAAACTTTCGATATTGATCTTGGATGAAACAACAAGTGATTTAGATTGGAGAAATGAATATCTTTTTACAATTCTAAAAAATGGTCAAATCTATTTAATTAATAAAATAAGAAATTAAGAATAAATAGGTAAATGATTAATGCAATTAAAATAAAAATCAATTTTTTAATCATTGTTGTGATCTAAGAAATCTTCATAAATATCAAGTAGAAGAATTTTCATGTAAAAAGATCTTCGATTTTTCTTTTTCAAAGAATTTTTCATGAATTAAGTTGAACGAAAACCTTGTTGAAATGAAAGATAAATAATTGAAATCGATTAAGTTAGTTCATTAAAACGATTTTTTTTAGGAAAGATTCTTTCATTTAATCTTAAATAAACAAATTGAAATTCTTTGAAAAGAAATCATTTTCTTTTTTTTTTCTGATTATTAAAATTAAAGAGTCTTGATTGGATTGATCTTCACATTGATTTGACTCAATCATTTCATGCATTTTTATTCACTCGAATTCTGCAAGTAAAGACAAAGATGTTTCTCAAATTTAAATCCGATTCGATGACAATTTCAAGATTTTTTCATTCGTATTTTTTTTTCCATTTTCATTTGATCTAAAAATGACTTTTAGAAGATCAAGAATTTCAAATGTTATCGTTCATTGATTTGTCATTCTCTGAGAAATAGTTGATTTATTCATGGTTGTATTCAGTTGACCCATTGAGATGAAGAATAATTCCAATCCATAGAGTTTTGTTGATTGAAAGACAAAGAATAAAGAAATATTTAACTGTTCGTTATGTCAGATTTTCATGAAGAATAATTAATTGAAAAGAAGGAAGATGATAATCAATTCCGAAAAGTCTCATCGGACGGAATATTCAACGAAAAAAAAACTATTTGATTGAATTGATTTGTTACAAGCATTTGAAAGATATTTTCATCAAGAAATTTCTTATTTTGATCAATCAAAAAAAATCATTCAGCAGCTATATCAAATCGTTGATCCAAAAATCTGTTCGCTATTGAAGAGATGTCTGGAACACGTCTTCGAAGTCTTATTCAAACAATATCAATGTTTACATTTACATTTTTCTTTTAATCTTTATTTAAAATTTCTTTCTTCTTTTGATATTATTCATAACATATCCTTATATCGAATTGAAAATGAATCTCAAGGAAAAAAAAATCGATCTTTCTCTGAACGAGCAACATCAACAAGATATTTTCTTCACTTGAAAATTTATTTTCATGAAAATTCTTTTCATAGATTCCTGTTGAATTGATCAATAATATTCGAACAATTAAACAATTAGTTAATTGAAAAAGAAATTCTCAAAGAACATTACTTCTCTATTGGATCAAATATTTCGGTTTGTTTGACACTTTCCTTAAGAATTTCGTTTGACCTTGATTTAATGTCTAGAAATGGAAAAAATCACTTATTATTTTCTACAATAAGATATTCAACCGATTAGAGTTTATCATTATGTATTTGAAGGAGTATTTATTCAATGACAATTGTTCTTCCTCAACATCATTAGATCCAAGAAAACCAAATGATTTTGCAGAAATTTCATTCATGATAAAAAAAACGAGGATTTTTTTTATTATATAATAATAATCATCTTGTGCTTCTTTATTTGAATGGATTTAATTTAATGCCCGAAGGCCTGTTAATACATCACCATTAGAATACTGGACAATAGTACATAAATAAGAACAAGAAGAACAGAAAAGGAGAACAAGTGAGAACGGCAGAAGGAAGACAAGGAGGATACTTCTAGTCTAAGAGTAGCAGGTACAATAGTAAATGAGGAGAAGGCAAAAGGACACTCACAACACGCAACAATAGGTCATAAAATTGTTATACATACAGATAGTGTTAGAGGACACGTCGGTTATAAGCGTGTACTTACCGGACTACGAAATTAGAAAATTATAGAAAGGAATCAGGAAAGGACAGAAGTAGGGATAGGTCATTATCCGATATTGTGGGAATAGCCCCATCCCCTATATCATCTAACCATTTTAAGCATTTTTGAATCACTGGCACATGCGGAATTATACGTTTAGATCTATATACCGCTTCGACAGCAATTGTTTTCTCGATCCATTGGTCCCTACATGCATTCCAGGCTAAAGGTTCGCACAGTACGGTACCATCAATAGATGTTTGCAGAGTGCTTTTATACCTTTTCCAATAATTGTGGCAACAATTATCTAAGGGCTTCTCCTTATGCAATTGAGAGAAAAGAAGATCATTCCAGTAATGCACCTCTACAACTTTCTTTAAACAGGAGAAATAAAAATGGTTTAAGTCAGCGGCTTGGCAGCTAGTTAGAAGTGGAATGATTGCAAAGAGCCAAGTGAGGGTGTGGGTGTGGGTGTGGGTGTGAGCGTGGATCTTGTCTTCACCTACACCCATACCCACACCCACACCGCACCCACACCCACACCCACACCCACACCCACACCCACACACCCACAC